TGAAACTGTCATGCCTAGGGTCTTCCCAGTACACTTCATGGGAGTCTGACCCGGCTGAGTGTAGCAGAGTGGACAGTGAAGCATGGTAAACAGTGTAATACAGTGTACAGTGTGTAGTGTGTCTATAAAGAAGTACAGTCTACAGTGTTTGTTTACAAAGTGTAGTACTGTAGGCCACATAGTACAGTGTACCGTGTGTCTGTACAGTGTAGTACAGTGTACAGTGTGAGACTAGGGTAGTACAGTAGTATATTGTACAGTGTATCTGTACAGCGCAGTACAGCGAACACTGTATAGTGTGTCTATACAGGGTAGTACACTGTACAGTGTGCATCTGTAGAGTGCAGTACAGTGTTTGTCTTTACAGTGTAGTACTGTATAGAACATAATACAGTGTACAGTGCATCTATGCAGAGTGTGTATGTGTAGTGTGTCTATACAGGATAGTACAGTGTACAGTGTAGTTCGATGTACAGAGTGTCTCTATACAGAGTAGTACTGTGTCCACTGTGCGTATACAGTGTAGTGCAGATACAATGAAGTACAGTGAACAGGGTGTGTATACAGTGTAGCGCAGTACAGTGCACAGGATGTGTATACAGTGTAGTGTAGTACAGTGTCCAGTGTAGTGCAGGTACAGTGTAGTACAGTGTACAGTGTGTGTATACAGTGTGTGCAGTGTTCAGTGTTGTACAGTGTAGTGCAGTGCGCACCGTGTGTGTATTTTAGGGAGTCACCTCGTGGGGGGAGGGTGGTGGTTCCGGGGGAGAAGGTGGACTGGCGGGACGATCCGGATGCTGACCCAGGCCTGCTGGACACAGACAGGGGATAACAAAGACAGACAGAGAGACAGGGAGACACACAGAGAGACAGGGAGACACACAGACACACCTGGTCACTGTGTAGTGACCCCACCCTCTGAGACACAACCCACCCACAGGAACAGTGAGCCTGTCTCTCAATAATAATAATACAGTGTGTGATCTCCTGTCACAGCCTGAGGAACAGACAGTGAGCCTGTCTCTCAATAATAATAATACAGTGTGTGATCTCCTGTCCCAGCCTGAGGAACAGTGAGCCTGTCTCTCAA